GCAGTTGGGACCACAATCACCGAACAAACCATTGGTAACACAATACGTCACCATGGATTGAAATCCTGCATACCAGCAAGGTCCTCCTCCTCTAGAAGGCACATGTACAAGCCTGTCTGAAGTTTGATAATGAACATCTAAATGATTCAGAGAAGGATTGGGAGAAAGTGCTGTGGGCAGATGAGACCAAAATTGATCTCTTTGCCATTAACCACTTGCCTACCAGGCACTTATACCCCCTTATTTACCAGGCCAATTTTCAGCTTTCAGCGCTGCCGCACTTTGATTGACAATTGCGCAGTCATGCAACATTGTACCCATATGAAATTTTGATCATTTTTTTCTCACAAATAGAGTTTTCTTTTGGTGGTATTTAATTGCCACTGGGTGCTTTACTTTTTGCGCTATAAATAAAAAAAATTGCAAAAAATTTGAAAAAAAAAAAAGTTTCTTTGTTTCTTTTATAACATTTTTCAAACAGGTATTTTTTCTCCTTCACTGATGTGCATTGATGAGGCAGCACTGATGGGCACTGATAGGCGGCACTGATGGGCACTGATAGGCAGCACTAAAGGGCACTGATAGGCAGTACTAATGAGGTGGCACGGATAGGCGGCACTGATAGACAGCACTAATGAGGTGTCACGGATAGGCGGCACTAATATGCAGCACTGATAGGCGGCACTGATAGGTGACACTGATTATGGGTACTGAGAGACGGCACTGACTGGCATCACTGCTGGGCACTGACTGACGGCACTGACTGGCATCACTGCTGGGCACTGACTGGCGGCACTGACTGGCACAACCCCTGGGCACGGCACTGACTGGTGGCACTGACTGGCAGCACTGCTGGGTGGCACTGACTGGTGGGCAGCACATGGTGGGTGGGCACAGGTGGGTGGCACTGGTGGGCACAGGTGGGTGGGCACAGGTGGGTGGCACTGCTCAGCACAGGTAGGTGGCACTTCTGGGCACAGGTAGGTGGCACTGCAGAGTGGCACAGGTGGGTGCACTGCAGAGTGGCACAGGTGGGTGCACTGCTGGGCACGGGTGGGCGGAGCTAGTGGGCGCACTGCTGGGCGGAACTTGCGGGTGGCACTGCTGGGCACCGATCATCAGGGCACTGATCATCAGTGCCCTGATGATCGGTGCCGATCCCCGCTCTGACAGCTGCCGGTTCTCGGCAGTACTTTCCTCACGATCTGACAGCGTGAGGAAAGTGCAGCCGAGAACCGGCACTTGCATTTCCCTCTGATCAGCGTGTCATTGGACACCGCTGATCACGTGGTAAAAGGCCGCTGTGATTGGCCTTTTACCACATCACGTGATCAGCTGTGTCCGTAGGACACAGCGATCACGGAGATCGCTGGGTGCGCGCCCCCTGGGGCGCGCAGGAGAGCGCGCTCTGGGAGGACGTCATATGACGTCCACCCAGAACTGGCCGGCCGCAGTGCAGCCGTCATTCGGCTATCTGCTGTCGGCAGCTAGTTAACTTGACTCGCCATGTTTGGAGGTAAAAAAATGCTATGACCCTAAGAACATCATCCCTACAGTTAGGCACAGAGGTGGAAACATTATATTTTGGGGCTATTTCTCTGCTAAAGGAACAGGCCCACTTTGCTACATTGAGGGGCCAATAGACAGGGCCATGTATTGTAATATCGTAAATGAGAACCTTCTTCCCTCAGCCAGAACACTGTAGATGGGTCGTGGATGGGTCTTCCAGCATGACAATGACCCAAAACATACCGCCAAGGCAACAAAGGAGTGGCTCAAGAAGAAGCACATCAAGGTCATGGAGAGCCGTAGCCAGACTTCAGACCTTAATGCTATAGAAAATGTATGGATGGATCTGAAACTTCGAGTCCCCAAGCGACAGCCAAGAAACCTTAAGGATTCAGAAAAGATCTATAAAGAAGAGTGGACTAAAATCCCTCCTGAGATGTGTGTAATCGTGGTAACCAGCTACAAGAAACATCTTACCTCTGTGCTTGCCAACAAGGGTTTCTCCACCAAGTACTAAATCATGTTTTGCTTGGGGATCAAGTACTTATTCTACTCACTGAACTGCAACTCAATTTATAACATTTGTATCATGTGTTTTTTATGGATTTTTGGTTTATATTCTGTGTCTATCATTTAAAATACACTTATGATAAACATTATAGACCCTTTATTTGTTTGTAAGTGGGCAAACTTACACGATCTGCAGGGGATCAAATAATTATTTTCCCCACTGTAATCCTCACACATTTATATATGTAATTCATGAAGGGTTAGATCATCTGTCAAGTTTTTAGTGCTGTCTGTCTTCCCATTGGTTATATTGTAGCCATTGTCTCTGTGGTGGAATGGCAGTGTTTAAGGACTAGAAATACATCTAAATCTCCTCATCTCTGGGCGGGGGATGTTCTGTGACTTGACTTCAGTGTCATTTATGAGTTATGAGTTATGAGTGCACAGGTTTTCTGGCAGGATCAACAGTCATCTTATTACGCTTTTTGAACAGCTATAACAAATCACTTTATATGGCATATTTACCAGACCAAATAGGAGCAAATAAGAGACGTTCATTGCTAGGGTGTACACTTTAAGAATATAAAATGGCAAAATTTCTTGTATAGCATATATGTATTATATGTTTTATACATTCTTTAGTGTGGGTGGAGTATTCCTTTAAAACTGAACTCTGGAATTTTGTTGAAATTTCTGGCAGTGGGTCCTGCCTCTCCCTCCCCCTTGCACCACAAGGGTTAAATGTTTATTTAGTCTAGGGGTGCAGGGATAAGGTGTAGTACTTTCCTTTTTCCTGGCTCCAGCAGGCTTCCTCCATTCATGCAATTGGTCCAATGATGCTGCCTCTTTAAGGCGCTTTTAATAGAGGTTGCATGCTCACTTCCTCTATGTACAATGTAGTGTTAATAGCTCTTCACTGTACATGATGATGTCAAGGGACTGCACTGAACCCAGAGCTTTCGGAAGAAGAAAACAGGACTGGAACCTGCAGGAAAGAGGGATAGGGTAAATGATAGACCTTATCTCTGCACCCCTAGACTAAATGAGCATTTAACCTTTGCAGTGCAGAGCTGCAAGGATAGATTTTGTCTAACTCCCGGAGTTAAGCTTTAACTTTAAAGCAGAAAGAATATTTATATATAGTAACAATTCCGAATTTTCAGGAAAATGTTTTTGGTACAGTCATAGACATATTCTGGGGCACAATTTCCCAGGAAGAGTTCTTCAGGAAGGATCAGAGACAGTTATTGATATTGAAAGCAATGAGAAACTATATAACAGGTATGGAGATCTATCTCTTTGTATCTACAGGGTGTTGGATTAGCCAACAGAGGTTTGTGACACCAGGGAAAAGAGTGGGGCATGTTGAACTGTAGCATAGGGCCACCATGGTAACCTGACCACTTCCAAAGTCTGGAAGAAACTAGGTATCCAAACGTTTTAGGTGGAAGTCTATGATAGGTTTCACTGGTCTTTGTGAATGAGACAGTGTTGGAACAGGAACTTTAACACTCCCCCTCAATTGTTCTCAGTTCAGCAAACTAGTTGAGCAGTCAGTGTCAGAACAGGAACCTTCTAAAGTCTCCTCAGTTGTTCCAGGTGGAATATTTGAGCAGAAGTTTACTGAAAGAATTGTGATTATGGGGCCACGAGTAAGAGTGACATTGATAAGGAGACTGAAACAGCTGGTCCTTCATCCCTGGAAGATCCTAATCTCCAAAGAACTTGACCACTTTCCCTCTGAAACAAGAGGATCATGGGTTGTGAAGACTAAAAAGTTGTGAGTTGTACAACTGACAGGTAGAGTGGTGAGGATCCTAAAGGTATGGCCAATAACCAAGATTCTCTACATCCAGTTTAAGTTAGCCAGTAAACTATGCTGCTATAAGTTATGTTCAAGCTTGTATCATTGGTGACCCCAATGTGTATTGCCTCCAATAGTCTTCTGCATTCCTGCATCTTGCCTTCCTGATGATTAGTCCACCCTTTATTCTAGACTGTTTGAGAACTGTGTTACACTGTGTAGCAATTATATGTGATGATCCTTCCTGTGTCACTGCAGATCTGACACAGCTATATATGAAGTGTGAAATTAAAAGGTTAGTCCATCCCAAAAGTAATATTTTAATTGTGAGCAGACAGCAATGAGTTTAATCATTCTCTGGCTTTTTATATCTAATGAGGTTTTTAGTGGTGATATCTCATACAACTTTCCAGTGTTGACTCCTTTTCTTGCTGCCCGAGTTATTTAAAGTAATATAAATGGTGAACGGAAGTTCATCTACTAAAGGCAAATAGAGTGTTCATTTTGTAGGAGAATCTTCTTCAGAGCCTAGTGATTGAGGTAAAGCTGTGCTTACTTTCGTTATTCGATCATGTGCAAGCAAAAATGCTGCTTTTTATTCCCTTGAAAGGGTTGGGTATGCTTTGCAAAGTGAAATTTCAATACATTCACTAAGCTCTGGGGAAAATTCACATACAAAGTGCAACTGCCCTTGCACTGTAAACAGCCAATAGCCAATACTAATTACCTTTAGTGAATCAACCCTGTTGGCACCAACTGAAACCTGAAATATATTTTGGTAGAAAAAAAACTACTTACAATTACTAATCTCAACTTTTTCAAAAGAAACCTTATTGAATAAAATGTGAAGGTTGCCAATGCTAACCTCCTTCTGAACGTGCTGGTTGCCTAGCTGTTTCTGGTTAATTACTTTCTGCATCATTGACGTAGAACAAGCATGCAACAAGCAAAGTTATTTTAAATTCAGAACCTAGGAACGTCATACTTAGCTTGCTTAAGACACAGAAAGTACTGAAATCACAGAATCAGTATGACAGCCAAAGATATATCATTTTAAAAAGGAAAGACGACAACTGGTGCCATCCATATTTTGTAAATACAGGTTAATACAGGTTTCCTTTAAAAAGTGACTGAACTGTGGAACCTGTGATAAAAAAAGACAAGGATTAGTTTTCACCAGGGGTGGACTGACCATTTGGAAACTCGGGCACTGCCCGAGGGCCTGGGGTCAGTAGGGGGCCCCATGAGAAGCCCCTGGTACCTTTTTCATAGGCTTTTTTGAGTTTGGGCAAGGACACAGGGGCCCCATGATCCCCTATTACCCGGGGGCCCCATGAGTAGTCAGTCCGCCCTGGTTGTCACCAGTATTTCCTAGGGTCTCCCTGCAGTTGATCTTTATGGACTTACCTTGCCCACATTTGCACTGTGTCCGTAGAGAGGTGGCCTCCTTGGTAAAGGAGCAGGGCGTTGCTTCCTCATGTCCAAGCTAACCCACTGATGACTGGTGATCTGATAACTAGCGGTGGAATACTCAAAAAGCAGCAAGAGACACGAATGAAGCACATAACACAAAATAAACAAAGCAGAAGCAGGGAGATCTTTGCAGTGCAAGTCCTCAGGTACAGCTTTCTCTCCAGCGAGGAGAAAAATGAGAAGTACAGTAGTACCATCACCAAATCTCACTAAAATCTATGTGAGACTAGCAGTCAGAGGCAGTAGAGTCTTAGATGATCTCACTCTACAGATGAACAACAAAGAGCCTAAAGGATGTGAAGTGCATTGATTTTATTTCAAAAAGAATTACAGACAAAAGCTAGATTTTTTTAAGGTTACTGCTTAGAACCAACATTTCTGGATGTTACCTATAAGATAACAAATGTTATGTTTGGAACTCAGGTTTACTTTAAGTGCTATTCTCTGCTTGCGGGGTGTAACTTCACACTTCATAAATATACTTAAATCTTAAAAAAATAAAATAAAGCAATTTAACATGCCCTAGGCCTTCAGTTGTGCACCACTATGCCTGTCAACAAGTGGCAGGTCCTCTTCATGCACCATCATTGACACATTTTATTAGCAATCCGTTGCATTGTTCTGCAAGAGCAGTTTGTAAAGGCATAATTGAAAACCCTCTACACACTATAAAACAAATCATTATATGTAGTAAGAAGGTAAAAGGAGCCTGTTGTCGAGGAATGCTTCTGCCAATGTTCCATTACAAGACTGATTGTTCCTGTCAGTAGTTTTATAATGTGTGTCAAAAAATGTACACTGCAAAAGAGCATGTGCACATCCCCAGTGTCCTACTGCTATGTGTGTTTAGTTGTGTAATTGAGAGCTTAGAATTCTTTCAACAACTGGCTGATGATGATAAATTGTTGAGTGTAAATACCTTTTTGCCATTGTTATGAGAGTAGAGAGTTGCAGAGTTGTGCACTGTTAATAGTCCACAGCTATTCTTTCAAAGCTGAATGTGTAAACTGATTGAGAGTTGTGGGATGTACTTTGCTCCAACTCCTTTTGAAACTGTATTGTGGAGATCCATTCTTTTTTTTTTCTTTCAATAGCATAAAGCAATATGTCTGTGACCCATTCAGAAAATTCTTTCTTTCTTCCTGTGGTCACCTGGATTGCACACATATGTTGAAAGGAAATCTTCCCAATGGGGGTAAAAACAGCAATACAAGTACTGCAGGAAAATGCAAAATGTTAAATTTTTTCCTTATTCCCATAGGATATAAGGCACATTTTCCTGTGTTGGGACTACTAAGGCAATGGAACCCAATGCTGTTACTGTGAATGGCCTTTAGAACCTCTTTCTAATTGTTTAGGCTTACGGTATATACAGGTGAAACTCAAAAAATTAGAATATCGTGCAAAAGTTTATTTATTTCAGTAATGCAACTTAAAAGGTGAAAATTATATATGAGAGACTCATTACATGCAAAGCAAGATAGTTCAAGCCGTGATTTGTCATAATTGTGATGATTATGGCTTACAGCTCATAAAAACCCCAAATCCACAATCTCAGAAAATTAGAATATTGTGAAAAGGTGCAATATTCTCGGCTCAAAGTGTCCCACTCTAATCAGCTAATTAAGCCATAAGACCTGCAAAGGGGTCCTGAGCCTTTAAATGGCCTCTCAGTCTGGTTCAGTAGGAATCACAATCATGGGAAAGACTGCTGACCTGACAGTTGTGCAAAAAACCATCATTGACACCCTCCATAAGGAGGGAAAGCCTCAAAAGGTAATTGCAAAAGACGTTGGATGTTCCCAAAGTGCTGTATCAAAGCACATTAATAGAAAGTTATGTGGAAGGGACTCTCTTGGGCTGGGGACTCCAGGCAGGACAGTTGGAGGTTGCATTTACCCCTGATCTGACCTCGGCTTGGCTTACGGATACTCCCTCTCTTGCTCCTCTGTGTATGATCTCGGCTATCCCATCTGACTACGTCTGCTCTGATTCCCACCTGGTACCTGACCTTTGCTTGAACCGACTACCCAGTAAACATCTAAATCCCGGAAGGGCTTACATACCACGCACAGGCGTCTCCTGTCTGCAGACCTATCTCTGTGCACCAGCTGTGCTTCTGAGTGGACCACCAACCAGCACTCCTACAGGCGACCTGTGCAACTTTGGGCCAGATTCCCGCTGTCCCACTCTCAGAGGAGTCCGGAACTTAGCCGCAAGGGAAGCCTTCTCTCCATTGGCCTCCATCACCAGGTGCGTGATAAGTGGATTCACGATCTTTATTGGACCCAGGCTTACACAACAGCAATTGCAAGAGATCCGGTAAAAAAAAAAACTTCTTCTGTCAGAGATCTTCCTTGGTGTTAATTCATCTTAGAGTCCCCTAATCAGTTTCTTTTGTTGTCTTTTATTTAGAAAGCGTAGATAGCCAATCCCACATGTGTGTGGTCCCTCTCTACCCTATTACCCTGTCCAATTATATAAGTGATACATTCTCCAATTCGACCTCAAGATGGCACTATTGTATCATACATGCCATAGGTCATATATGTTAGAAGGTCAGGCTGTTGGTAACCATGGCTACAGTACAATCAGAACAATAGCCAACTGTCAACTGAAATACAACAATGGCATCTATGTTACCATTGTATCCAGTGGCATTTGTTTGAGAAGCATCTCCTTAAACTCCAAGGAACTTGATATCTGTCTCCAACAGTACGCGTATACTGATATATATATATATATATATATATATATATATATATATATATATATATATATATATATATATATACTGTATATATCTCAAATGCAACACATGGATTGCCATGCCAGGTGTCCACAGCCATTCATCATCATCCAGCAATCCTCACAACTCTTCTCCGCTCATCTGATACAGCTGTCGGCGTGCTGACAGCCTGCTGTGTGACCATAGCCCTATCTCTCTCTCAGCAGAGATCCAAGGACCTGCACAGCTCTTCCTGCATTGTTGGAGACTGCACCTTTACCAGGATTGCTGAGCGGGCAGTTGCGCACACCCTTCAGTTACACAGTTATATAGAAACACTGCTAGCAGACATCATTGTAACCCAGCCAAAAGAGGAAATTGTGTTGCTACCACCTCAGTTTATCTGCAGGCCTGACATCACCATCCTTTATCACTCTTCATCATAACAGGGCCCCAACTTGTTAGCAGAAGACAACATTCTTAAACTTGGATTGACTCTACCCCAAATCATTGATAACTTATCTTTCACTTAAAGAGGCACTCTATCCCTATACTAAGTACTTGTCAAAAGGTATTCATTTGGTCCCATTACAGTCTGCCAGTGGTCAAGAGAGAGCTGACGGGTTTCTGAGTCTCTCCCCCTACAACTTGTGTTACACTATCAACAGGCACCACTTATGCACATTGATTTTATTCAGTCTGCTGGTATCATTCATGTATCCTTGTTTTTATGTGAGTAGCCATTTGGCTGTTTTTGAATCTTTTTAAATAAATATCTAATAACTACACTATGGAAGTTCTATCTTTGACTTCTTTTTGAGCCATTTGAAGACCCCTTAAAGATGTGTTTGATCGTTTATATGATTTCAGTAAGACCTGTTCCTGTGTCCACTTAAAGGCAGAGATCCATCCAACCAGAGATCATCCAGGGATATTGATTGCTCTATGACTCCTTGAGAGTCAGATTTTTGAGGTGAGTGCACACACTAGAAGGTGATAGATAAAATTGGCACCATAAATATGAGCATGCAACGAAAAGTGGGAATATAGGAATTGAAGAATTGAAAAATCTGGATTTTTATATTTGATATTTTTTTCAATTTTTTTTTTGTGCTATAATTATTTTTTCACTTGTTGAGACTAATTTCTTCACTTCTTGGGACTTTTTTTTATTTATCTATATCAGTTGAAATATGCCACTGTTTTATAATTGGTCACTTTGGTTTTATATTTACTTTGGAATGTATTTCACCTTTAATTAAGGCAGTAAGGATACACAAGGTTTATTAATATTCTTTCACTTTAATATTATTTATATTATGATTAGAAAATATGGTATTTTAGTATTTACAGCGCTACACCATTTGTTTAAAATAAATCATTCATGTAGTGTTTCCCATCTCTTATTATTACTGTTATCGACCATTGACCTTTTTAATATTGCTGTAACCAGTTATAAACCCCTAAGAGGTAACCTGAGCCATATTAAATACAACCGTGGATATTGAATTATTGTGTCTGTTGCACTTTTATTCTGTGCTTGGTGAGCATTATTGATCTAACTATATCTGAACCTAGAGTGTCAGAAGGGTTGAGGAGTTTACAGGTTTAAGACAGCACCAGAGGACAAGCATCATCCAGTGGCTCCTGCTACATATATATACAGAATATAATGAGAATGAAGTTCCTACACTTGAGAAGGGCTCTGTGAAGGAAGAAGCTGGCCAAGGTCACTTGGATTGGGGTTCTAGGTATATGTTAGAACACTAATCAGTTGCATTCCAGCCCTGTCAGAGTTGAGACATATTTTTTGTGACACTCTGTTCAAGTGCCTTGTATTAGGAAAAATGCAAGTGAGTTTGGAACAGCGGTACGCAATACAATTTTATGTGAAATTGGGTAAAAGTGCATCAGAATCTTTGGAAATGATGAAAAAAGCTTATGGAGAAGCTGCGCTGTAATCTGCACAAGTGTACCGATGACACAAGTCTTCAAGGAAGGAGGAGAAGATGTTGAAGATGAACAGCAATCAGGACGCCCCTCTACATCAAAAATGGAACAGAATGTGGATGCAGTGAGGTCTGTTCTCAACTGTAACCAATGGCTCACTACCAGGAAGATTTCAGAGGAAACGGGAATTACCAGGTCAATTGTTC